CCCCCCGTTGACGGAAACGGTCCACACACATGGTCACATGACATACATCTCACCTCACATGACATGCATGGAGAATTCGAGAGAAGAGGGGGGCAGGGCTGCCCTCACCTTTTTCTCACCGCCCTCGATGCTGGATGGATTGATGGATGGATGGCCTGCCTCTCTCTTCGTTCCTTCCTGCCCGCTTGTCGGCTCTGTCTCTCTTTCTTTGTCTCTATCGCTCTCGATGTCGCTATCGCTCGTCGTTGTTGGTCGATCGATCGCATTCCTTCATTCATTCACACCCTTCTTCTTCTTGATGGATCCGATCCCTTCGTTCCCTTATAAGGGATGGATAGCCAATGACATGACAATTTATGTGTGTGCATACGTACGTACGTACGGACGTACAACAAGAGTACAATCTCTCTTGAGACTTATACACACACCCATACCTACCTACCTACCTACACCGGACTGACTACCCACTCACTCTCTCTCTCTCTCTCTCTCTCACGTCGCGTCACCCACGTTATATTATTTGTATGTGTGTGCGCTGGCCGTCGAGTCAGTGTCTTTTTCTGAAGTGCACAAACAAAGAAAAACCCCGGGTGCCCGACGAGGGAACCAAGGCAGGCGCACGTGTGAGCGATGCGTATTGTTTGGTGTGTGGGCCGGGGGTGAGTGCCACATACATATCAAGGCAGCGATGGAAGCACGACTGACTGTACTGCACTGCTCTCTGCAATGGGTGGTGTGCTACTGATTCATGGATGGATGGATGGATGTTTGATGGCCGATTGATGATGTGTGATTCATTCATGTGAGACGGACGGCCGGGCCATGGTGGATGGCATGGCGATGTGCGTGGCGTGCGTGTGGTCATGTGTCATGTCATGTGTGGCTGGCTGGTCAATGGCTAATTCACATGAGCAAGAAGGCTACTTGATGGACATCACGCACACGCACACACACACAAGTCGCGTCAGCTACCCATCCGACAGCACACCACACCACACCACACCGCCCCTGCCTGTCTGTGTCCCATTTCCCACCCCGGCCGATGAATGAATAAGACGCCACGACGTACGGTCACAGACACAGCACAGCCACAGACAGCAAGGGCATAGGAGTGAGTGAGACTAGCTCAATTTCTGCCAGAAGGCATAGCCGACCGGGCCATCCTTCCCTCCCTCCCTCCCTCCCTCCCTCCGTCCACCCGTCGTGCTTCGACCAGCCAGCCAGCCAGCCACCCATCGATCTCCTAAACCTTTCCTGCATACGAATTAGGCACTCTACAGAGCTGGACATACACACACATGCACCCACCCACCCACCCACACACACACACAGATATACACCGAATTAGACACTTAGACAGAAAGAAACCAAGCCATTCAGCAAGCAGGCAGGCAGGGAGACAGGCAGGCAGGCAATCGCCCCTCTCGCCGCACCCACACCCAAAGGACCGAAAAAGCACTCGCTTTTAAGGCAGTGTGTCCGTCCGTCCGTCGCATTTATGCAGCCACTACACTACCTGTCTCTCTGCCATCCATCCATCCACCATTCCAACGCGAAGAGGTCTCATTGCTGACTGCTCTACCTACGCACTACCTACACTTTCGGCCGGCCACCCTTGTGTGTGTGTGTCTAGAGTTCGTCCTTGGTGCTGGTCTTCTTGGCCTTCTTGCCCTTCTTCTCCTCGTGGATCCGCTTCAACTCATCGTAGCTATCCAACTGCACACACACACACACGCACACACACGTGATGTGTGTGTGCGTGTTGGATGGATGGATGGATAGATGGGAACATACCAGTGCGCCGAGCTCTTCGATCTTTTCTGTGGTGTCCTGCATCCACTCGCGCCAGCCAGCAGTGTCAACAAATGGCAGCTGCGCACACAACACACACACACACACACATGCGTCCGTCCGTTCACCAAAGCCACACCAGCCCCCCCACCCACCTGTGGCTCCTTTGTAGCAGCGGCTTTGGTCTCGGTGATTTCGACGGGCTTTGACGCGTTCTTCTTGATGAACTTGATGATGCCCTTCTTGGTGCGGTCGCCCTCGTACGGGATGGGCTTCTTCTCGCCCGCCTTGACGTAGAAGATGGTAGGGAAGCCCTCGTACTGGAAGTCGGAGTGCGCCACCTCGTTGGCCGTCCCGTCCACTGTCACAATCACACACGATCGTGTTGGTGTGTACCGGTAAGCGGTGTAGCTTCCGTACGTTTGGCGAGCATGATGTGTTCGTTCTTGGCGAGCATCTCTGCGACAGCGTTATACTGGGGCTCCAACTTCTGCACACACACACACACACACACACGTGGGAGGGAGAAGGAGGCATGAAGGGGTGAGAGAGCGTGTGTGTGTGTGTGATGCTTGCCTTGCAGTGTCCACACCAGGGCGCGTACACCTCCAGCATCACATCCTTGTCGGCGTGGAACACCTAAGCAACGAACCAACGAAACCAACCAAGGAAGAGACGTATCCGGTGTGTTTGGTATGTCCTGCTCGATCGGCCATTGGACGGACAGACGGACCATTTCATCAAAGTTCTTGCCGACGACCACCTTGACGGGCTCATCGTTGGTCTCGGGGATGGGCTGCGACTTGAGGAAGGGCTCCACCTTGCCGGCGCGGACGTCCTCGATGAACTGCTTGATGGCGCTCTTCTCTATCGCCGGGCCCGTCCAACGATACCTGCGCACACACACACACGACAGAGAGGCTCAGAATCCCGCTTGCGTGTGTGGCGCCCCCTCTCTCTCTCTCTCTCTCTTTGGTTGTGTTGGGTGTGTACTTCTTGTCCTCCTTTGTAGTGATAACCATGGCGGGGTAGTCGTCGTCACTGATGCCGAGGAAACTCTCGACTGCAACGGAGAGGGAGGACATAACAAGACCATGCTCTCTCGCACCGAGCTAGGCCCGCCGGCCGGCCTACAGGGTTTGCTTTGCTCACCGTGTTCGCCGAACTGTTGGGTGTCTAGCCAGACGAAGCTGTACTGGGGATACTCCTTGGCCATTGCGCGGAAGATAGGCGTCACCGCCGTCACGTTAGCCTGGTTGCTCTTCTCCATCTTGACACACACCCACGCTATGCCTGCAGGCATCACACACCACACCACACACCGGACACATATACGAGTTGTCTGTGTAGATGTGCGGGTCTGTGTGTGTGTGTGTGACCGACCCTCTCTCTTTCGCTCGTCGTATGACTGGAAGTTCTCAGCGTTGATCTCGCCGAAGAGGTGGAAGCGCTCCTCCTCAACCCAGGCGCCGAGTTCCTCTGCATCGGCGGCCCCGCTGTACACAATCGGGGCGTCCTCGCCCTTGCGGTGGATCACGATCTGACGGATAAATGAATGGACTCACACCAGGCGCGTGGACGGTGTGTCGGGCCCTGGGAATGTGTGTGTGTGTGTGTGATGGGTGTGTGCCTGCCTTGTTCTGGTTGTCGTCGATCTGGACGAACTTGGCTGCCATCCTCATGAGGTCTGCGACCTCCTCGAACACCTTGTAGAGGCTGTGGGACTTGTCGGTGAACTTAGCAGACACCACCACCTGCACACGCCGCCCAGACAATACCCCCCCCATTCAGGCCAACACACACAGAGAGACAAACACCCCTACTGACCGTTTCGGTGTCGATCATGGTCTTGAACTCGTCCTTAGTCATGTTCGTGACGGCAGGTCCCGTCTGCTTCTCCAGCCACTCGACGATGTCGCTGCTAGTGCGGCCACCGTCATACTCCTACAGGAAGGACACCACGCAGACACACACAAGGAGTCATGGGTGGGTGGCTGAGCACCTGCACGTGCAGGTACCTGTACCTGTGGTTTGCCCTTCTTGAAGAACTTGATGGTGGGGAAGCCCTGCACGTCGAACTCCTGGGCCAGCTTCTCCTCTACTGTCGCGTCAACTGCACACACAAAGTCAGTCATCACACCACAGAGATGTCACTTTGAGCATCCTGGATCGCATCACATGCCGCTTCGCTTCATGAGTACCCACCCTTTGCGAGTGGTATCTTGCCCTTGAGTTCCTTGGCGGCTTTCTCGTACTCGGGTGCCAACTGCTTGCAGTGACCACACCTGCACACACATGGAAGGATGGACGACATATCAGACAACACCACACTCACGGCAGATGCGGATGGATGTCGCCTGGCTCCCTATAGTGCCGTGCGCATTTGCGTCAACGCGGCACCTACACATGCAGGCTATCGCTGTTGGCACACGACACTCTAACCGAACAACCTCATGAGGCGGGAGGCCACCCTACTACTCGCAGTCGCATGTGCCGTGCGCACCTATCTCCTTCCCTCCCTCTCTCCCTCCCTCCCTCCCTGTGTCCCTCCCTCCCTGCCCGCCTGATGGGCTCACCAAGGAGCGTAGAACTCCACTGCACGCGCACACACACGCACGACAGCGCAGGCAAGTCGAGCGGTTGTCAGTGTCTGGCCTTGCAAAGCGTGTGGCGTGTCGGGTATACGAACGTACCGAGGCTGATGGGATTCTCGTCTATGAAGGGCTTGAAGGTATCCTGCGTCAGCGAGACCACCGCCTCGTCAGCAGCAGCAGCCAAGAGGGCAAGCGAGGCCACCAGGCCACACACACCGACGCGAACCAGCATCTGAACCACGTAGTCACTTGGATCTGTGCGGATCTCTCCTCCTCTCCACCATATGCGTGCGCTCTCTGCGCTCACCACGTTCGTTCTGACGATATCCCGGCGTGTGCAGATCTTCCCTCGTCGTGTACTCTTTCCACCCGTGTGATGGCTGTGCGTCCTTCTCCTCTTTCACCTCCCTGATTTGCGAGCTCGGATCTTTGGCCGGGAAGTCTGGCCAACAGCGAGGATGGATGTCAGGTGGGTTTCATTGTTGTCGGCGTCACCCTTGCCCTCGTCAGTGCACTGGTGCTGGTCAGCTCCTGCATCTACCTTGCACGGGCAGGGACGTCTGTTCGACGGCAATCTCCGACAGAACTTGAAGGGAACATGGGGGCATGGTGGGGGTCGCGTCTCAACACGGCAGGCTTGAGTTGAGGGATGATGGAGAAGAGTGTGCAGCAGATGCAGGAGGCCACCAACCGCCTACTTGAAGCCACGTAAGAGCATCCGGCGTTGCTCATGTGTCCGCCATTCATTCCCACCCGTCGATGTGCAGTCCCGAGTTGGCTCAGCCCGACAGGGGCAGTCGCCACACGACCAAGAAAGACACTCTCATCCAGCCGCCGGAGACCAAGAGGGACAAAAAGTCCGCACGGGTGCGCGGAGGACCAGAAAGAGATGAGAATCTCCATTCAATCGCGCGTGTAAGTGTGTGGCTGGCTGCAGAGTTCGTATGACGAGGCGGGTGGAGCACCGAGTGGTGGCGGTGGTGGTGGCGGTCCCTCGTCTGCCATGGCAGAGCTGCGGCGGCGGAACCAGGAGCTCGCCGATCAGGTCAAAGAGCTCGAGCAGCAACTCAAGTACAGAACGGTACCAGCGCACGGACGACACGACACATGGCCGGAATGCATCGTTTCATGTGTGTCGGTCGGTCTGGCTGGCTGGCTGTCTGGCCTGCCGTTCATCAGAGCACTTACATCGAGCAGGAGGCGCGTTTCAAGGAGCAGATAGGCCTGCTTGAGAAGCAGTTGCAGCACAGAACAGACGACGACTACCACAAGAGAATGCAGGTAGGTGTGCATTCGTGGACGTCGCCGGCCTTTCCATGCGGTGTGTGTTATTCCCTCAGAGCATCAGGGGCCTGCATGAGGACACTCTGCACGGGCTGGAGCTCATCCAGGGCAACACAGCCAGAATACTGCAGGGTAGGGTGGAGGAAGAGGGAGGGAGGGAGGGAGGGAGGAACACACGGTCGCCGTCGCTCTCCTGGTCGACATATGTGTCATGTGTGTGGCGTGCAGACCAGGAGAAGGACCTCATGAGGGCGTTCAGAGCCAGGTGGGTGGGCGGGCGGGTCAGCAGCGGCGACTCTCAACAGGGTGGAGACACACACACACACACACACACCCCACGGCGCTCGATGTCTCTGTCTTCTTTCTGCAGGATCCAAGACCTCAACAAAGAGCTCAAGACAAAAGAAAACATGGTAGCCATACGCCACACACACAACATTTTGACGTCCAGCCCGCCCCTCTCTCTCCCCTCCACTCCCCTCCCTCTGTCTCCATCGATCTGCAGAAGGGGGACTATTCGGCGGAGCTGCAGGCGCGCCATCGTCGTGTGTTGCATGAGCTGCACGCCGCCCAGGAGCTGGCGCAGATCTTTGACAAGAAGAACCGGTCGTTGCAGGGCGACAACCAGCGGCTGCAGGAGCGGCTAAGGACCAGGGAGGACGACCGGCAGGCCGTCATGAAGGAGCTCGTGGCCGCCAGACGGGAGAACAAGAGACTGAACAATGAAGGTGCGGGCCCGGTGCGGAGAGAGTTGCTGGCTGGCTGTGTCTCCCTTTCTGTCTCTCTCTCTCTCTCTCTGTGTCACATATCTGTGTGTGGCTGTCCATCGTCACTGTCTGTTGTGTCAGTTGAGGAGCTGACGGACGCTCGACTCAGAGAGCAAAAGGGTCGGTCAGTGACTGCCTGCCTGCCCACCCAGAAAAAACGCTAGATCGGATTGAGTGGTGCACTGCACTGCATCCATATTCTTGTATGTACACAGCGGGCAGCCAGATGGAGGCGACGGCGTCCTCAGCGCCCCAGCGTGATGGCCAGGAGGGAATGAAGCCGCCGCATGGCATCGACTACAACGCCAACCGGATCTACGAGCGCGACCTGCAGCGCAGAGAGGTAGGTGCCCCCGCGTATCTAACGACACATATATGCTCAGGCAGTGGGTGAGTGATCTTACTCTTTTTGTCTTCCCAACGAGCTCTGATGCAGGAAGTGCAGCGTCTCAGGAGGTCAGACAGACGGGACGGTCCGTCTGTGGACACTTGACAGACAGACATTGATGCGCGTGTGTGTGTGTGTGTTTACGTATGTTGTTATGAGTGCAGGGCTTTAGAGGCAGAGAGGCGGGCCAACGCGGGTCTGCAGCGCCAGCTCAACAACTTCCTCGCCTCACGCTCAGAGTGCGAAATACTTCTCAGAGGCGCACTCGACGACGTCAAGCACGAGGTCCGAGGATGGATACAAGAGACACACGTCTTTGCGGCGTTGGGTGCGCGTGTGTTTATGTGGGTAATGCAGATCCGTCGTCGTCGTGCGGCAGCAGCGCAGGAGGGCGACCGGCGGACCCCCGTGCCGCCGACGGAGGAGGTGCCAGTGCAGGAATTCTCAGTCGCAGACAGAGAACGGGTCAGTCAGGCAGGGATGGAGGGACACAGACTGTTGGGAAGAGAAACTATGTTTGTGTATGTGCGAGTCAGGTCATCGAGTTGCTCTTATCGCAAGAGAGGTCAGCAAGCAGCCTCACACCAAGGGGACACACGACGGAGACACACATGATCACATGATGAACGCACACACAGCGATTTGGTGTTCTCGTGTTTTGTGTGTGTCATCACCGTGTGTTCTGTATGGCTGCAGGGTGGTGCAGTGTCTGTACGAGCGCACCTTCCCCGACGTCCAGCAGACGACGCCGCCGGCAGACTGACAGACCTGTCTGTCTACATGTACGTGTGCCCGTCTGGTCTGTCCCCGGGAGGACAATGGATGTCTGCTAACGTGTGTGTGTGGTGTGTTTTTCCTTTCTGCTCGGTCGGAGTCCGGAGTTGGTGCGTCTCTCGAGAACGGAACGCCTCTTCCGTCTGAGCGTATCAATCCATTCAATGGACGGCGGCGAGCACACACGAATCACAGGCCTCTTCGATCGACAAACATCCATCCATCCGTCCATCCATGCATCCAGCAGACATGCAGGCGCTCACTGACTGATAAGTACCCAGACAAATCACCCCACCGACCCCACCCACCATTTGGTCGTTGGTTCGCTTCTAGAGTATCTACATCAACCAATCAATGAGTCCATGTGTGGATGCACAACCAACCCACAATTGAGGCAACGAATGGGGCCCGGCTAACCAACCAGTCAACACACACGTCACGGACGGCTTCTCACCCTAGTGCGTATGACAGGCAGACAGACAGGCAGACAGACAGACAGGCAGACAGGCAATGCATCGTGTGTATCCACACCCGCCATCCATCCATGTGGTTGTGCTGCGCCAGTCAAAAATTGGGCACGAGTCCCCTGTCGCTCCCCGCCTTCTTGATGCCCGCCGACGCCTTCCCATCTCCCGCCTTGGCCTTGGCCGGCGGCTCCTGGTGCACCACACCCACGTTGTGGTGACCGCCTGAACCATCACCTCCCTCACCACCTACACCACCACCACCACCACTCTCCTCTGACGCACCCCCGCCACCCTTGCCCAGGTGGATCCCCGCTACGTGTCCAGCAGCTGCCGGCTCCTGCTGCTGCGCCTCGAGCGCACTCAGCCCCTTGCTGACTCGGTGGTGTGGGTGCGTCAGGTTGGATGGGGACACAACTCCCGCCTCTGCTGCTGCTGCTGCTGCCTGGGAAAGGGGCGTCAATGTCTGGTTGGTCGCCGTCACGGGTGGTGCGGCAGCTGGACCACCAGAGAGGTCGGTGCCACCCGTACCAGCCCTGGACGCCTCTGCCGCCTTCTGAGATTGGACCAGCTCCCTCAAGAGCGCCTCATGCTGCAGGATCTTGTGTTCGAGCGACGCGACGGTGTCCTTGAGCCCCTGCAGTTGGATCTGCAGGGGGCGGTCCAGCGGGCCACCCTGCACCACCATGTGCTGCGGCGCCACAGGTTGTGGCACCGGGCCCGTGGCTGCCGGCTTGCCCTTCCACCTCCACCTCCCGCCCGGCCGTCTCGGGTACTTCAACACACCCAGGTAGAGAAATGTGAAGACAGCCAACAGCACTATCACCACCAGCCCGCATGGAGGCATCGATCGGCCGTTGCCAGATGAGGAGGAACCTGCTGACGCGTTCTTGCCGGCGGTGGCGGGTGGGGGGAGGCCGCGGAAGGGGGAGAGGACGGCGCGGGTGGCCCGAGAGGCCAATCGCCACGCCAGAGAGCTCGAGGGCGACCCTTGGCCTTCTTTGGCACCGGAAGCAGCGGCGGACCGGCCGTTGGAGGCATCCAGATGGTTGTGGGGGGATTTGTCTGGTGGAGGGGGCTTCTTGACATAGCCGCCAAACAGCTGGTTCAGGTGCCTGCCTAGCACGGTCCGCACGCCGTCAGTCCTCGGCGAGGCCCCAGAACCACTGTCGCTCCTGGACGATGACGACGACGCCCCTCCCGCCGGCCCGCTGCCCATCGTGCCCTCATCCCTGGCGCCATAGCGATAGCCATTGCCCGACATGACGGCCAGCGCCGCCCTCGTCTCGAGAAACCGCGACATCCCTCCGCCACCCATCGGATCCTTCGAGCCGCTCGGGGATAGACGCGACCGTGGCGGCGAGAGTGCTCCGGTGCGTGCCGTCAAGCCCGATCCATTGTGTGTGGTGTTGTTGGCCGACACGGCGGTTGGCTCGACAGGCGGGGAGTCGATGCCCGATCTGGTGCTCTGGGAGGACGAGTCGGTGCGGCCGCCTGGCATCCCTCCGGGCACCACCAAGTGGCCGCTATCAGTGGCTGATCCGCCCTGTGAGGTGCGCCTCTCCCTCTCGATGACCATCTGCGACTGCTTGATGATGACGTGCAGCTTGTTGTGCGCCGGCCAGTTCTTGGCGAAGCACTCCTGGGAGCAGAAGAACGATGTCCTGCCGAGTGCGGTGCACTTGGGGCAGCACAGCCGCGTGTCGGTCTCCTTGCCGCATCCCTGACAACTCACCATCTCGCCGCCGAGATCGCCACTACTCGATTCAGCTTGCTGTCCTGCTGTCACCGCTGCTGCTCATCTTCGCGTGCGATCGGCAATCACTTGCGAGCTTAGGGGTATGAGCTGTGAGACGGAATGCAGCCAGCTGCACAGCACTGTATGCGCATGGTGTTGAGGTAGCCGTAGATCTGCCTGCCGAAGATGGCCGTCGGGGTGTGGGTGTGTTCGGTGGTGCTGGCCCTCTTTCGGACCATTGGAGGCATCAGACCGCCCTCACAAAGGAGATGGGACAATGGCAGAGGTGCGTAGAGTAGATAGATCACATCCTCAAACGCATCCATCTCAGCTGTGTCTTACGTGCCTCTGTTCTGTGTGTCTGTCTGTCTGTGTGTCTGTCTGTGTCACGTCAGGTGTGTCAGTGTCGTTGGATGCGGGCGAAGCATTTGTGCCATCATCGCATACCAGCATTCCCTCTGCACCATCGCAATGGAGGAGGAGAAGTCACATTCACAGGCGGCCGTCGCATTACCTTTCGTCATCGCGACTCAGGCGAAGGCCACTCATCCCTCCTGCTGCTGCACCGGTAACCATGTCAGCCAGACGGCCACACGGCGATGTGAATACACATCCACTTTTGTCTTTCTGTGCGCGTGTGTGTGGTTGCGTCATCGATCAGTCGTCCGATTTATTGGTCAAGGAGCGCGAGACGGTCAGCACTGTCGAGGAGCAGCCCTCCCCCTCTTCCTCCCCCTCTCCCTCCCCCTCCCCCCCTGACGAGGGCCACACACACGCCGATGCCAACCATTTCCACAGGCAGCATCAGGCAACCGCCACCAAGGACCGACCCCTGGTGGAGCTGCCGTCCCTCTCCGACATCCCAGAGCCGTCTCTCAACAACTATGACGCATACATCGGCGAGAGGGCACCATCAGCAGCAGTGGCCCCGCGGGAGCCGCCGGCGCGTGTGGAGGAGTTTGCGCATGATGGAGAGATCAGCCCGTCATCGGGGGATCGGATCGTTGTCACGCGGCGAGCTGACGAGGAACCGGCGCAAGAACTCGCTCAGGCTGAAGAAGCTGCAGCAAGACCTTCCCCACCCATCAACGAGACTGCCTCCTTCCCACCCTCCCCGTCCCCCTCCCTCTCCCCATCACCATCTCTCATCCAACAGCCGGCAGCAGAGGCCCCCGCCGCCCCCCCAGTAGCCGTCCAGCCTCCAGCAGCCGAGGCACTGCCAACCAAGACAGGCCGCTACATCGCCCCCACCCCTCTAGGCACCACACTTGAAGCAGTGGAGGTGCCACAGCCGGTCAAGCGGCCGTCGGAGACGCGGCGGCGCGTTCGTGCGTGGCGGCGGGCTCTGTGGCGGTTGTTTGGCGTGAAGATGAGGGACGGTGTGCGTGAGGTCCACTCGCTGCTGGACTTGCCGTCCAAGAAGGCGAGCAGGATGGAGACGAGCTGGGAGAGGAAGGGCACCGGGACGTCGTTCTTTGCGACCCTGGCGAGGACGGCGGAGATCTGGGGGTTCCTCGTCAAGTGTGCTGTGCGGGAGCTCAAGATACGGCAGATTCGCGACAAACAGCTTGCAAGCGCCACACGTACGACAAAGACGGAGAGCTGAGGGGAAGGGAGAGGAGAGATGCTCGTTGCTGTGTGTGTATGTTGGCTGCAGGCACCGAGTTTGGTCGCGAGTTGACGGAGGGTCTGCTGAGGCTGGGCCCCACATTTATCAAGCTGGGGCAGCTGCTCTCCACCAGGACAGACGTCGTGCCTAGAGAATACATCAGAGGCAAAGACAATCTGAAAGAGACCACCACCACACACACACACGCACACATATAAACCTTTCCTCTCCTGCCTGGGTATGTGTCGTGTGTGTGTCATTCATCAGAGCTGCAGCAGCTGCAGGACGACGTCCCGGGGTTCGGCGGCAAGAAAGCCATCGAGATCGTGGAGAAAGAGCTCGGCCGGCCCGTTGCTGACCTCTTCGAGTCGTTCAACGCCACGCCAGTCGCGGCAGCTTCGCTCGCCCAAGTCCATAGAGCCACCTACCAGGTAAGACGCCTCCCCCCCTCAGCCCCCCCCC